TAGTGACAAGGGAACGCTGGCCTGACAGGCGTGGCCAAAATTCTGACCAATGGGGGCTGATTATACACCGACTAAAAGTGGCAGATTGAGGTTCGATTCCTGCATATTGGGATTGGCACTGTAGTGAGTGAGTATCATCCAAAATCGGTTAAGTTTTTAACTAAGTTATTATGTTTTACGCGATAAAACATGTCTTCAGGTGACAGTGGCGAGCAGGATCAAGGTAATATATACACATATAATATATATAGATTTATGATATATATATATATAAATTGAAGAGAAATGAATGACAGACTATTACTTTTTGTGTTACCGGCAACAACAAATCAGCTCGAAGCTGGGCAATCCAATCTCTGCGTGGTTTATTAATTCGAATGCTTGTAATCCACAGCAAGGAGAACTGGAGGAGTGAAAGTGCCTGTCCTGGGCGGCGAGAAAGGGCGAGGAGAGGGGGAGATGATAGAGGTATGGTGCGTTTTGCCATAATCACTTCTATTTTAATTGCAGATTGTAAACTTGTTTTTAAGGTATGTGGTGAAAAAAAAACTTCACATCCAATCTCGGCATGCCTCACTTGCCTAAATAATGATGACATTTTTGTATGCTTGTAATCCACAGGATCAAGGCGGAGGAGCAAAAGTGTGGCCGAACGGGTACACGTGGAAAGAAGATTGGAAGATGATAGAGGTATTCAGCGTTTTACCATAATCAAGTTGATTCTAATCGCTATTCTAATCGATTGTCAACTTGATTTTGAATTATTTGGTAAAGAAAGCACTTCACATTGTCACAAAACTTTTGTGAAGAGAGCATTTGGCAGGTATTATGTTTTTCCTTTGTGTCCAGATGGAATCAGAGACGACGAGATGGGACAAGAGCCTCAAGGTGGAGAAGTGCCTGGGAGGGGCAGCGATCTAAGAGATCGCCTCAACGCTAAATGTCGTAAGTGTGAAACAACTCCAATCCTAACCTATAGTTTTCCTTTGAATAAGCTCGACTATTTTGTTTAAAAAATGATATTTTTTGTTTTCTAAATGAAATTAGCGTTTTGCAAGCTTCACAGCACGAGACTCGGTGTTCCAGACCCGCCTCAGTAGAATGAAGTAAAGGTCTAAAAATTGGAATAAAATTAATAGAAATAGCACCAATGTTAGGGTTTGGATCCCAAACTCTTACCCAGTATACGTATGTGATGTTTACATCGTAAATATCCGTACACAAAGAAAAACTTGTTTTAACGACTACTCCTGTGATTTATATCTTCACGTTGGCATGTACATTTATTTATTTATTTTTCCTGTTTATCTGTTTACTATAGTGTGCTGCTTTAACTGCAGAGGCCGTGGGCACAAAGCCGGACAATCCCCCTCTGCAAGAATTCGTTGGAGGGGCCGACGAAAGGCCAACAACAGGCCAAGTGTGGACGATACGCAGATGGTTAGGAACGAATATCATTTCCACCAAAAGGTGGCAAACATCTCATTCCATTGAAATTTTTAACGTTTTCTAAATTTTTTTATGTAGTATTACCAAATTACAAATTTGTTTCAATTCTCGTTTCAGTTTTTGGTTTGTAATATTAAACATGAATGAAAATGAGTCAGGTCTATGTCAATTCTGTTTGAGGCTGTCAGTGTACTTCAAACCCCTCCTTTGACCAACTACACCAGCTGCTCTTTAATTCATGTACCGAACCTAATCAAGTACATGAAGAGTTTAAGATCGAGTGACCCACATTGGAATTTTGACTGTAGATTACTTGGATAGTTGCGTGATCTTGGTCTTCCTTTCAGCTATTTTTTTATGTATGCTTTTTCTTTGAATATTGCATTTTTTCGCGAATACGACTGCTGGGGAGTCAAAGAATTGACAAGAGTAACTTCTCGGGTTTTTTAAAACCACATTTAAAAGAAGGGGAACGTTAAAAACATGACTGGTTCAACCAACAAAGGATTGACATACAATTTCACATCTTTAAACTTTACCATGCCTGGCTTAAAGGTCACATTTCCAATCTCAACTCAAATCTATTGTAGTTTCATCAAAAATGTTTCATTATCTCTCGTTCATGTTCGCGTACAGTTGCACTTGGAATTTAAAATTTCATACCCTGAACGCAAGCAATAAAGCCTTCACAGTTTTCGGTGGATAAAATATGTCTTCAGCCGGGTGAAAAGGGAGCTTAAGCAGCGCCCTTGAACCACGCACTTCAACTGGAAATGAACCTTTCTCTCCATTAATAAGCCAAGACGCTACCAAATTTGTATTGCCACCTGTCTTCATTCTTATAGAGAGTGCAAAAAGTCCACTTCCAGTTGACATGCGTCACTCCAAAATGTTGCCCTAATTATTCCTACTCGTCATCGCGTGATGACCTCACATGGCTTAATAGAGAGAATGTACTTGAACCGTGAAACAGATACCAACAGAAGCAAAAGGTAAACATAAGAAGACAATGCAATTATTGGGTCTTAGTGCATAATAGTGCATAGTATTCTACTACCTATTTCACGGGTCAAGTATAATCATTTTATGTGAAGTGTTTATATGTCGGGTACAATGGTTTCTTGTTTCCCCGCCTCTATCTACATACAAGGATACTTTGTTTATGAAAAATACCTCGGAAAAGTATGGGCGAATTATTGCGTTGTTGCATACACTATTGTACATTATTCATTCATGGCAGTAGGCAGTAGGGAGTAGCAGTGTCAAGCAATAGAATTCCACATTTCATACAATTGAATTTTTCCCAGATGGGAAACGAAACAGGCGAACATCACACTGGCAATCCTACTCAAATTGTTTTGATGAAACAGCTAATTGCATGATAACAATCTGTCAAAGCAATTTTGACTGTATCATAAAGTGTAAAAACAGTTGTTTCATTCACTGTATTATTATTACTTTTTTGGCGAAGCGGGGGGCGGGGGGGAGTTTTGTGTTACTTTTGATTGACAAGTTGAGCACGGTTTCACATGAAAATGGTGTATATATCTGGGTACTGAGTACCGTTGACTCGGCAGTTGACTATTCCTTATTATCACGAGGTCTACAAGTTTACACTGTAAAACTTTTGAAGTTTTCTTTTTTTCTTTCTGGTTGGAAGTACTGATTAATTCAACGACAATAAGTTCTCCTCCAAGTCCTTGTGGTGGTGCTACTGAATATATCAGCGAAAGCGAATGAAGCATAAGTCTTCAGTAAACAGTGTGAACAGTCAGCTTGCTCGCCGGCTTTGAATTTCCTGCGAGTTTTTCCTCTGATGATAGCTACAGTCTCAGACGAAAATAGTTTGGACACTTAGACCAAACCCTGTTTTTCCTTCTCGTGCTCCCCTTGTCCCTCTCAAAGTTGTTTATCGCAGTTCAGTCACCGAAACCTTGTACACCAACATTGAGGGGACAAGGAGACACAAAATTGATGGAGACTGTAGCTTATATGCCTACACGACCCTTTGTGTTGCGTAGTTAGTATTGGCTTTAAGTCTAGTTTGAATTGATTGTTCTTTTTTATCATCCAATATTCTAACCACATAATTTAATACATTAGGCGCTTACAACTCATTTTTTTCTTGACAAAGGGCAGATGATGATATCTCTCTGAATAGCTGGGAATGATCACCATCAGAGGGAGAAGAGGGAGAAGTCGAAATGGACCAAGACCTTGACTTGGTTAGAAATGTTTCTTCACTTGTAAAAATTTAGTTAGTAAGCGTTGCTTGAACATCCATAAAGACGTCTTATAATGCAAGTTTCACAGGTGCATTTCGGAAATCATGACTCCCTGACTATCTCACAAATTATCTCACATGGATATTTTCTGGAACTATGCATTAAGATTCTTAACCTTAAATATATCGATGCATAGGCTTCTCCTGATTTCGACTTACTGGATAATCTGAGGAGTTACCTCCATGGACCAACTAGCCCCGACGAAACTGTAAGTGGAAACTCTGTTGTGTATGATTTGTGTATGCAGAAGAGTGGTCGCCGATCATCAATTTCCTTTGTCTCCCAGCCCTAATTCATGAATAATCAAGATGAGGAGACAGGAAATTAAAAATCAACCAAGGCTGAATACATTAACCAAAGTTTAACTTTGAGCTGTATTATTTATCCTTTGCAGTCAGGAATATGATGTCAGGTTGGACCAGCCTGTGGAGGATACATCTCGCAGTGAGGTAAGTGCAGTGAGGTTCACGTCTTACCTTTTTGTGGTAATAAATTTAATTAGAAGAAGTTAAAGTTGTCGTAATTCTAAAAAAGTGTCTACTGTTCAAGCCCTCAGGCCTTCCAACACACTAATCTTTGGGTGACATGTGGTTTCACTGGATTTATGAGGCCTTTTCTAGTTTTCATGTTGTTTTTCATCAGTCTCTCCTTCCAATATAACCGCCCCTTTTTTCAGCCACAATTCTAATTAAGTAATTAGACCACTGTCCACCAGTGTAATCATGGCATAATTTTCTTTCACAGGTTCGGTAAAGCTTCGCAGGGTTCTCATAATTTTAAAGAATTCTAGAAACAATATCAGTAATATTATACATGTATGAAGAACATAGGAGAATATTTTGAAAGAAAGTCTGATCATGATGAATAAACAACAGTCATAGACTACCTAAAGTTAGCAGTAGAATTCGATCAGCTTCGTAACCAGGAGAATATATCCTCCTTTATAACATGTGTATAACCTATTGCAGGCATAAATTGACAACATACTGTAGTAAAGACATATTCAACACAATTGAGGAGTGTGATTTTTTTCACCTATATTCAGACCACATATGCTATCCTTCTTTAGGGTGAATGGCCTAAAAACGCGTATATATCTTGTGGTTTTATTTTATCCTTGGTTTAGATTTCTTTTCTTTTGTTTCAAAATCATTATCATACATTACCATACCCAAAAACAAAAGACAATAACCTTTAAACCAAGGATAAAATTAAACCACAACATATATAATAGTTTGAAATTAAATATCTTGTCATTTATTTAAAAAGGTGCTGTCTTTCACAAGAAACTTAGCACATCGGGTTAGGGAAAGTTTTTCAGGTATTTCTTCAGGGTTGCAAAGGGCAGGTGATGTCCACTCAGTTCTGTCGGAAGATGAAAGCAGCCCTGGCCATAGCAGGTCAACCCAACCTCAAAACATGTACAGCTTCAATGTTGTCCTGCTGGACCCTGGTGTTGACATCATTCCTCGGCAGAAATTCCGAGATGTACTTTGACAGGATGGTCGTATTGTTGAGATTTCATTACCACGTGGAGCACAGGGACCAGACGCACAGAAAAAACTGACCAGTGCCTTTCCCCACTTCAGAGCCAAAGCCAGGTTGGTGGTATTTATACATGTATGGGGTAAAATACAGTAAGTATAATATTTTTCCTTCTTCCTTGTTTGTTTCCAAATTCTTTAACCCCCCCTTTTTTCATGTTTGTCGTAGTGGGGTATTTTTTGGTTAACATGTGAAATGGGCATTTTGAAGCCAGGCCAGGTTGTTATTGAACAAAATCTGAGTATAAAAATCACTTGTTAAAATATGTCCTATTATTTCCAGTGTAGTTTTAAATTTTGTAGTAAGCTGTCTTTATCCAGCTTCTACACCTTTTAATAACATTATGCCAAAGACATTTTATTAAGACAATCTCTGAATATTCAACACCTGTTGGGAAAATGCAATACATGTCTACTTTCAAACAAAGTTTTTATTTTCCTTTGAAATAATAGTCTCCTATTCAAAGTACTTAATTACATCACGTAGTTTATGCTAATGCTAATTCTGTTGTGGATAAAAGGTCAATTTCTTTGGATAGTTAAGAACTACAATGTGTATATAGTGATATACATGGAAACTTTGCAGTCATAACCTGTATTCATCAGATTTTCTTTATAATGTTACCTAGACAATCTCACGGTTATGGCAATCCACCAATTCAAGTTTTGGTCACTGACAAATCTGCTCGAAATAATCTGGTGCCTGCTAATCTCCCAGCACATGGATTTACAGCAAGGGAGCTCCACAAAGTTGCTGGACAAGGCTCCCTTTATTTACGCCTCTTTGAAGATCCCACCACATCGGTATTATTTCACTCTCTTCTTACCTTACAAAAAGAACATGTATTGACAGGAGCTAAATAAAAACAAAAACAACTTACTATAACTGTAATTCTAGGGGGTGGAAATAATTTGACAGGACAAAGTCTACCTTTGACTGACATTGTCTGTTGATTAAACATTACTTCAAGAACTGGTAATTACGTCTAGTTTTACACATTTTAATACCAGCTAATGATGTAGTTGCAAACTATATGCATGCACAACACCAATTCAATAGCAAACACATTTACTTGTCTTATACTGACTAATTAAACTTAATAATTCTATAATTTATTGACTATTAATCTGTTGTGAACTGTATCTTTCCAGTGGCAAGTCAATAATTCACTGTTTGATACTGCTGACAGTTATGATGTCTTTTAGAGACCATCTCATCGCACTCAGTCAAGAGTAAATAGGAGAACCTCAGGAAGTGTATCTCGGGCACATTTTACTTCCAGCAACACAACCAGCACAAGTACAAGAAGCAGCACCCTTTCCATTACTGGCTTGGGTGCCTTTCCTTCAAGGCAATCCAGGATACCTGTTCCTATACCAGGTATGCTCCCCCACATAACTGGATCTGGATCCAGGGTAGGGCCAAGTGCAAGGAATGTGAGTTGGGTGCCATCGTTTCTTCAAGATCCAGTGGCACATTTAAAGACAGTTCATTAGTAGCAAGAGGTTTGATGACAGCTTCAACTCACACTTCAGCAACTGCCTGCTACAAGAAGTGTTAGGTCCCCACTAGCTATTTCAACTTCCACCCATACAGTGACAACAACAACATCGGTTTTGGGCACCAGGGTCTCTTCAAGATCAGGTGAACCTCATTAGTGGCAAGGGGTATGGTGACAGCTCCTACACACGCTTCAGTGAATGCCACAGGGACAGGAAGGGACCAGAACAGCAGGGTGAGGTCTTCACCAGCTGTTTCGACCTCCACTCATACCTCTGCAACTAATGCGGGGATAGGAAGGGACCGGAACAGCACAGTGAGGCCTTCATCAGCTGTTTCAACCTACACTAGTACCTCTGCAACGGATACAGGGACGGGAAGGGATCAGAAAAACAGGGTGAGGTCTCCACCACCTGTATCAACCTTCACTCGTACCTCTGCAACTGATACAGGGACGGGAAGGGACCGGAGCAACAGGGCGAGGTCTCCACCACCTGTATCAACCTCCACTCGTACCTCTGCAACTGATACAGGGACGGGAAGGGACCGGAGCAACAGGGCGAGGTCTCCACCGCCTGTATCAACCTCCACTTGTACCCCTGCAACTGATACAGGGATGGGAAGGGACCGGAGCAACAGGGTGTGGTCTCCACCAGCCGTTTCAACCTCCACTCGTACTTCTGCAACAAGCACGGAAACCTTGATTTTGGGTGGTCGTAGCACTGTTTCAACCTCCACTGGTACTGTGGCAACTGCCACCACAACAAGAGATTACCATTCAATCACGGGGGGGTCTAGATCTCTAACCAGTCATACCTCTGAAACAAGCACGGGGACCAGAACTGACCAGGGTAGTATCAGTAGGTCTCCACTAGCCATTTCAACCTCCTCTCATTCCTCTGAAATAGTCACAGGGACATCAAGTGGCCGTGTTGCCTCTGCACCTGACACATTTGGTGCTGATGCTGGTTTAACTAGCATGGTGGCAACTCCAACCACCACTGTTGCAACAAGTACCGTTAGTACTAGCAGCAGACTAATTAATCCAGCATCAGCCAGCACTGTTGTTAGCTCAGAGGCTAGACATGGAAATGTTGCAAGTACCCCAACAAGCAACATCGTCTCCAGCACAGTAACATCTGTGAATAGACCTGAGCGCCTTGGTGTGCATATCTCTCCTACTGCAGTTGTTGGTGCTGATGCTAGGAGCCGTAGCAATGAATCTACCACTGCAAAACAATCTACAGCTCTGTCTGTGGCAGATGGGGAGAATACCTTAGCAGATAGGAGGCGGAGATGGCGTGCTACACTTCCAGCCATTTCAGCTGATATTGAGAGTGTTGATGATGGCACTGGACTTAGCATAGATAGAACTGGATCCAACAGTGCACCCTCAGTGAGTTCAGGTTCAACTTCAGGTATGTTGTAAGTGAAAATGTGGGATTTTAATATAAATCTTTTCCAACAGATAAAATACTGATGGCTGTGACCAGAAAAGTGTTCTTTTCATAGGGAGCTCTTGTGGCGTAGGCCCGAGAAACAGAAAGAGTACTATAATAATATTATTATGAGTTTTATTTCCTTTATTTGATTAAGAATATTGGAAGCATACCATTAAGTGAAATTGAAAATTAAATTCTTTCTCGAGATAAGTGAGTAGTTAATAAGATAATTGTGAAAAATACCAGAAGCAAAGGAGGTCTGTTAATTTTTTTACAAAAACGTATCAATTGAAAATTCTGTAAATCGAAACTTTTGGTAATGTCAGTATAGACGTCAGTTTGCAGGACTCGCAATGGTGTCTAGCAGTATGATAACTATTTAAAGTATGTTGAGAATATAACGTTATAGGCTATGTATTTGCCTGTGATTAAGATAAACATAAATAATATCTTGCAGATTTTCATTCAAGTGCTTCAGTTACTATTACTACAGAAGGCATTTCCAGACTGCCAGTAACAGCACCAAGTGCACCGGCTACAGGTTATGTCGTATTCCTTTTCTTTAAAGAAAAAGAGAGTTGAAGTTTTTTATAATCATGCATTATAAATGTATCTGTATGAATGGCTTTATTTAGGCATAAAATTCCAACTTTATCAGATTGATCAGCAGTAAACATCCATGTGCAACAAAATAATATTAAAATAATAGAATAAGTATTAATAAATAATAAAAATAATTTCTGCAGTCAAGAAACTTGATACAAATCCCTTTTAAAAAATGTTTGATTATTTTCTTGTCAATAGGTGTCATCGAATTACCAGAGGCTAGTGTTTTACTTGATCTAATACATGAAAATCAGGGTAAGTAGAAAGTTAAAATAAAACCCACTGTTCACGTTAACAGGTCACATTGGTTTGAACTTAACCATTCTTTGATATCATTCCATCCCATTTTCTATTGATCAGAACATGTTTAACAGACATGCCGTATTATAAACATCAGCTGGAAGATGTACTGTAAACACATCTTTACTACTAGTCGAATAGTTTTGGAGTTTCTGTTTTCATTTACAAAAATTATTTCAATTTGTTGTTATGCAGGTTACGTACTAAGTCCAATGGAGTCATCTATTTGAATGACACATTATCCAAGTCTGCCTTTCAGTCATCCATGTACCTTTCATACGGTAATTGTTATTTTTGTGGTTGCTATTCGTATTGTTGTTGTTGGTATTTTAATTTTTTATTAGTACTATTATTGTTTGTTGTTTCTTAAGTTTTCATTATGTGTACAGATCCCCTTTATACATATATTTTCTGCATTTCATTTTTAGCTTTTGGAATGTCAAGATTGGATGGAGAATTGGGCAGACCTACGCTTGTGTGTATTTGTAGTGAACGTCAGTGGCTTCTTTGGAGGTATTATAGACGCCTTGCTTTTATGTCTTAACCATTTTGGAAATTTATATCTTCCCAAACATTGTTTTTGTTAATTAAAACTGGCTGTAAGAGGTCTATTTGTACTTATTTAAATAGCTGTGGTTGTTGATTATGTGAATAGATTTAATAGATCACAACCAGATCAGAGTACAAATCTGATGAAAGTGAATGTATAAAATATGTGCAATGTGCTTCTATGTATAAATTTTCATCTTTCAGGCCCATTTTTGAGAACAGTGAGATTGCTAAGCTGGTGAATGAAAACTTTATATTTTGGGTCCAACCGTCAGATCATGGAGCTGACGGAAGGGAAGGTATATTTTCCTCCTCAAATAAGCGCTGTCCCTTGAATGATCGTCCACTTTTGGTGCAAAAAAAGAGCCCCTGGCTAATTATTGAAGAATAGACAGTATAAATGACGATACTTATGGATAACATGTAACACAAAAAATTTATTAATAGATGATACAACAGGTCCGACTGTGCATACGTATTCAGATCAATTAAGTCATTTCAGTGAATGATGGAAAAAGTCAATGGTCAGTAGTAATTTTGCAATGAGATACATGCTTCTCCTTCATTCAGGATTAGCTGCCATAAATCAGCACAACAATAATACTGGGATTGTAGCTATCGTATGCTCAAGAGCAGTTGGTGAAATTAAAGTCTTGCTTAAGGTTACAGGTAATAACTTCACAAGTCATTTATTACAGTATGTTACCAAATGAAATGTAGGGTGTTTTATTTAAAACATAGTAGAGGAGACTGGTTATGAAGGCCAGCAAGCATCAAAGTTGAAATTGATGCATTGCTGTGGTTGATGTTGCAACCTACCTCACTGTGCCTGATCCGATGATTTTTGTTCACAAATTGCGACTGAATAAAGTAATGGGATGTTTCTATAACAAAATAAGTACAAAAGTATAGTACAGTATTCCTATTGTGCCAGTCAGGTCCAGAAACAAACACTTGACATGCAGAACCCTGTGGCCAGTAGAGAAGTGTTGATTCGTGTCTATCCAATATGGAACATTTGCATTCATATCTCATGGCATGTCTTACAGTGACGCTTACAAGCTTCATTACACAATCAAATGAATGTCACTACTCTCTTAATCTAACTTGTGTACATTGTACTGTGCAGAAGAAAACCTTAATGACTTAATACAAAAATAATCAAGACATGGATTTTATTTTGTGTGACCATACACACCTCAGTCCAAAACAAAATTCCAATAATACTTGCAGGTCCACTAATAAAAACGTACAGATAGGAATAACATTTTTATATTACTCTTCCCCTAATGAATTTTGAAATTGAAACATAATTATAGTGTCTTTTCTAGGTCCACAGAGTGTTGCTGAATTGAAAAGAATCCTCAATGAAGCATTAACAAAATTTAGAGAGAAGAGAAATGAAT